CCAGGACCCCTTTGTGCTAGGGGCTGTACAAAACAGAACTAAAAGACAGTCCTTGCTCCAAAGAGTTTATGGTTTTAAGTTCATATTAACTGCTCAGTGACCCACTCAAACGAGCCATGTTTATAGAGAGCAGCTTATACTATTCTCTCTGAGGATAATATCAGAACAGTGGGTTGATCTTAAATCACCATGTAGGTTGCAATATCTAGACAACAGCATGTCTGAGGCTATGTCTATACTTAAAACACTACAGCAGCACAGCTGCAGTGCTTCAGTGTAGACATTCACTACAGCAATGGGAGGAGTTCTTCCATCACAGTAGTTAATCCACCTCCGCAAGAGGCAGTAGCTAGGTCAATGGAAGAATTCTTCTGTCAGCATAGCACCTTCTTCTACACCGTGGATTAGGTCAGTTTAACTACATCATCCATGGGTGTGGATTTTTCAGTGTAGACCAGCCCTAAGTTACTTTTAGTTACAGCCTTTCACCTTACTTGCGGTGCTGTTCAGAAGTTTACTTAATTATTAAAACAGCGGGTCTCGTTTAACTTTGCAACTTTTGCCAATTTCATTCTCAATTTATTGCTAATTGAGAGATTTCACATGTAATGAATTTGGTTGATTAAAGTTCAACAGCTGTAAACAAAAATTGGTAACGCATCAGATGGGAGAAAAATAAGTGACTGGTGGCATTTCAGAATGTTAGAGCTGCATAGAATTACAGCTGAATTGCACAATAATTAATTGATTCAAGATAACTCCTGTTACATGATTATGTCCCACATGGTCTTGTCAATGTAACTTGCTCTCTCTCTCTCTCGTCACTTAATATCAAGCAGTAGGGGTTCAGGTGCACACATAAACTGACTCTAATGGGAAATGCTGGCTCCTTTTGTGTCTCAACTGCCACCTAAAGCAAAATGATGATATTCTTATTTCTGATTGGTATTACACTAGCATCTACGGCCGGGCGCCTACGGAGATTAAGCACATAGTAAGAGACAGTGTTTGCCCCAAAGCATTTACAGTCTAAATAATTGTTTGGCTTAAGACAGTTTAATAGGAATACATTTGTCTATAAAGCATTTAAAAATACTTCAGGCTTTCCTCTCCCAACAGCAGTGCAATATTCTATAGCAATGGTCCAGAACTTGATAGCAGGGGGTTAAAGGGGTACAGGGCATTAGTGTACAGTCCTGTGGTTATTCTGATTAGAGAGACATTTTGTATTATAATGGCCTCTTTTAACAAGCAAAAAAGTGTTTTCTCCTGAAAATGTCAGGTTTCTAAACCATTCTTCTTTGTTCCTTTGACCTGAGGGGTTTTTTTAAGTTTACAATATCCCTCACTTTTTGCTTCCAGAGAGGGCACTTATAAAGTAGCCCCAGTGATGAGTAACTTCCTTGTTCGCTTCTGAAAGTCCATAGTACCTCACAGGCCTCATTTAGTGATCTGACCCATTTGTTTTCCAGTGCTGCATATATGAATGACATTATACAGATGGAGGCCTGGTGTGCTGGAGGTGTACATCTAAATCATCACAATTATGATGGCCAAACCTCTCCGTGTGGTAAGAGCTTGCTCACAAGAACATGCTCTTCTAATGCAGTGTGGTTCATGGAGTTCCACAGCATGGTCCCCTGTTGCCTTTTTCTTCAGTGCCTAGGTGCAATCTGCAGATAACCTACTGGTCTGGGCATGCTGTGCTCTGTCGTGATCCAAGCAGCCAGGCAGATGGAGTACTGCTTGTGTGGACCTGTCCTGTTCTCTGTCATGGCTGCAGCTTCATCTCATAGATGAGGGTAGCTTCATCTCAAACAAGCTGCACCCCTCAGGCTTCTTGCAAATGGCCAATGTAGCCCATGGCTGGATGAAGTTTGGGTGCCTGTAATTCATATAAACATCAATGGGAATGACCTGGGTCTGTGAATGGGAGAATAGGCCCCTTTATAAGATGGTACAAATGGTTGTGGTGTGTACTGTTTGTTTGGTAGGAAGCTGCGGTTTAGGGTTATTGCTGATAAGTAGGCTACTGTTAGGTTTTTGTCTGATGCTTTAGTTTTGGACTCATCTTTATCCTTTACCCAGTGCTGTCAATTTTCTCTCTCACAGGCTGCATGTTCCAGCTTGCCGGAGATGGTCAATGTCCTGTCAGAGAATGGTGCAAACCCAAGGTAAGTTACTGCAAGCCTGGCTCAACTGTTGGGATTTCACAATTTGCGGTTTTCTATTTGGAAGCCTCTTGGTGGGGGAGAAGTCTGTTTTAACCAATGCTATGATTGTCTGCTAGATCTTAGTTAAAAATCTGGCAATATGGTACAATCAGCAGCTTTAATCAGTCTTTCTAGGAGCTGCATATTTGCCTGGCTCTGCACTCTTCAGCATCCTTGGGATTGTTCGCAGCTTCTGGAAAATAATTCCAGGATTCCTTTTTGAGAAGAGCCTTTGTTTTCATGGCGCACTCTGAACAGCATTAGTGTTATGTATGCCAGGACTGACAAAGAGCTCTTTGGTCATCTAGATCAAGTCCAGCCCCTATGGAGAGAAGGATTTGCCTTTACACTATCCCTCCAAGCATTCTAATTTCCTTCTGAGTGCTTCACTTCAATACCTAAATAATACCTCAGTACCTCTGAGGATCTGGAACCCATGTTTTAATGCACTGTGATGGATCTTCAAAAGAAGGATGGAGGATGTAATCTTTGTGAAAAATCCCCCTGACTAAAGTCCATTTCCTAGAGGAGATATGGTTTAAATTAGCACATTCTGATCAGCATTTATCTTAATGTTTTTCAGATTCTGGAACCAGTTTGAGAACATATAAAATATTTGCCAGCACTAAACTGGGTTCACAAGCCATCGCCCAATTAGATTAACATAAGAAAGATGAACTATAATGAGACAGATCTCAGATGGTGTAAATTGGCATAGCTCCGTCCAGGTCAAGAGTTTCAGTAAGACTTTTGGTGTAACTCAAAGTGTCCTTTGATTTCAGGGAAGTTATGATAAATTACACCATCTGAGGACCTGGCCCAGTGTTTCATTCAGGAGTTATTTGGATTGAATTTGACATACCTGCGTAGGTAAATGTGGGCATATGGATGTGTGTGTATACAGATATATATATTTTTGTGTGTGTGTGCGCGCACACCCATAATATCACAAATACATATCCAGTATATGCATGGAGTAAAATCATCTTTTGTTTTGTTGCAAGGGTTAGCTAGCAAGGCCATAATATTGTAGAAGGTCTCCAATTAAGCAAAAGGCTTGTGATAACCAGAGTCCCCAAAATGAAGCAAAGCAAGAAAAAGCAAATGATCTAATGGTGGCATCAAAGAGGGTATGCACCCAACTGCCCCTTGCACTTGTTGCCTCATTGCTCTTTGTTCCCTACCTGTATTCACTAAAGAGAGGGGAAACACAGCTTTGGGTGCAGTTGGCATTCATTATAATACATCACTGCAATAGAAATAATTTTTCCTTCTAAAGCTTTTAAAGAGGTAAAAAAAATCAAATTTCATAATAATCTGTGCACCTCCAGAAAGGCGTAGCAATTGCCATTCTAGCTGCTTATTATCAGCAGATTTGGAATTACTAGTAATGGGGTAGGAGCCATTTAATTGTGTGAATACCTATAAACGCAGTTACCCTCTGACTCCTTCATTTATGTGTTCTGACATCAAAGGCTGTAGACAGAAGGTCATGGAAGGTCAGTAATCTTCTTGTCAGGAAAAACCATAATGACAAGACATAGAAAGGAAACTCCTTTGAGAGCATGGGTAACATTTTCAAATGTGACTGAGGAGCCTAAGGCCTATTTTCAAAAGTGAACTTAGGCACTTTGGGCCAGATTTTCAAAGGTTTTTAGGTGGCTAAAGATGCAGATAGGTGCAGATGGGAGCTAGGCACCTGGGTGCTTTTGAAAATTCCTACTTGCATTTTAGGTACCTAAATACCTTTAAAAACCAGACCCTAATTCAATGGGACGTAGGATCCTAAGTCACTTAAGCACTTTGGAAAATGTTACACTAGTCCTTGTACTGTTCTTGAGCCACTAGATGTAATGAAGGAGGTCAAGTCATGGTTATTGGTGGAACACTTTAATAGGAGCTTGTTATCGCATCTGTTTAACGTTGTTGAATTTCTCCCTATTCATGTTGTGCATCTTTTGCTTTCTGTTATCGTCTCAGCCTTTATGGCCCCAGTGGCTTTATTGTGTTTTTTGCTATGTGCCACAGAATCTTTTACAGGCTTTGTTTAACCTTTATTGCAAAATCAATGACTCTAAGGCCTTTCCTGATTGTCTCAGCTATAAATAAAATACAAGTCTGCTGGGCTTCAGACCCCTTGTTTTTGCCATATTGATCTTGTCCTTTGTCTCAGTAAGTGTGGCCTTTTTCGTGTGAAATAAAACTCCAGTTGTGGTCACTGGAGGTTACACCCTGCTGTCTATTGGGGCCCTTTGCTAATTGCTGATTTGCTAATTGACCACCCATGACAAGGAGACAGTGGTGTTTTAATGTTTGGATGTTTATTAGCTCAATCTACTTGAATACACCTGTTAAATTTTCATTGGTTCACAGCCTGTCTTGAAGTTACACAAAAGGATCAACCAACACAAACCCTCCTGTGTCTATACAGTAATGTGTATTGAAAATGTGCAGGGAGCTCTCCTGTTCTGCTCTTTGCAGTGAAATATATATTTAAGCAAAATGAAGCCTATGCTTTTCCTAATGGGATTACTACTGGAGAAGTGCTCTTTTGGGCTTTAATGCTGGTAGTTTAATTATTCCTTAGCCTAGTAAAAGGTTCCCCATTATCATGCTTTAGCACTTCCCCCAGGGGATAAGGAACTAGGAATGGGGGCTATTCCCATTGGGAATGTGAACTGTTCTCTCTGATGTTTACTCTCTAATATGGTTGCTTTCCTGCCATTGAAGGGAATGTGTTTGACCTTTTATCTAAGTTTGCAGTGACAGGGCAGGGTACAGTGAATATTGTTGGGAGCTCTAAGAAGAAATCTTTTATTACTTTCTGGTGTATATTTGGGCTGTTAGAAAATAGCCAGCCTCTTTGCTCCTCTTTCTGTTTGTGCCAAATGAAACTGAGACGAATGTGCAGAGCCGGCAGCTGCCATTCCTCCATGCAGGAAGTGAAGCATCTGCACTGTTTACGATGGGGTCACCTTATTACCGCATCCCTCCAAGGCTGATGAGATGCCTTTGTGGGCACCAAGCATAGCAGGAGAGGTTTCCTGCATCCCTGACGGGTTGCGATTGCAGCACATCATTTTCAGCAGGCAGTCCCGGAACTAATTGGAGAAAGCACATGTGTTACAGGAAAATTCACTAGATAAGAGAAGAAGGCAGGCTGCTAAACACACTTCTCCTGGGTCCCTTTATGCCAAACTACTAAACTGGGTTTTGCTTTACCCAGATGCTGTAACCTGGGAGTTGGTAGTGCTCCTGTGAGATGCAGCCTGGATGCTTTTGACACACAAACGGAAGAAATGCTGTTTTGGCTTAGACCAATGGCCCATTTAGCCCAGTATTCTGTGTCCGACAGTGGCCAGTACCAGAGCTTCAGGGGGAATGTACAGAACAGGGCAATGCTGCAGAGATACACCCCTGGCTTCCCCCCTGGCTTCAGGCTGTCAGGGTTGCCCTGAGCATGGGGTTGTGTGTCCCTGCCCATCCTGGCTAATGGCCATTGATGGATCTATCCTCCATGAATTTATCTAGTTCTTTCTTGAACCCAGCTGTATTTTTGGCCATCACAACATCCCATGGCAGTGCGTCCCACAGGTTAATTGTGCATTGTATGAAAAAATACTTCCTCTTGTTTGTATTGAATTTAATTTCATCAGGTGACACCTGTTTTTTTAATTGTGGGAAAGGGTAAATAATAGTTCTCTATTCACTTTTTCCACACCATTCATGATTTTATAATATGCATTACATTGTAGGTAGTAAACCTCCAAGACAGGGGCTATGTGGCCAATACTGGGCCCAGCGTGGAATGCAAATTATAATGTTGCGGTCAGACTGGTTAGTGCTTTACCCTACTCTTTGCAGGCACTGGCAATTGATTGATAAACATCTGTCTGTTTGTTGTGCAAGCTCAATCAGGCAATTAATGATCCAAAATTAGGTCAGTTGCCCCTACAAAATTGTGGGTATGCAAAAGGATCTCTGGTTAAGGCCAGGTTGAAAATCAAGCTCCATCTCAATTTTATACCTTAGCCTTGCCTGTTGTAAAGCTGCAATTAGTGGGATCTGGCATTTGACAGGAACCTCAATAGGATAGATATGCTATGCTATATTAGAATGCCCCATTACTGCTATTACACTTCATTCCTGTAAGCCCCTAGCTCAGTGAAGGCTTGTTTTCAATTGCTCTCTGATAATCTTCATGCTCTCACCTGTTTGTTCATGAAGATGTAGATAATTGGGTTGTAAACTGTGGCTGTTTTGGAGAAGTATGAAGGTAGTGATGCTAGAGTTGGTTGGATGGGGATGTCTTTGTTTGTGGCAATCACCATGGCAAAGGTGGAATAGGGCAGCCAGCAGATGAGAAAGGCCATCACCATAGCAATCACCATTCGTGTCACCTCCCTCTCAGCTCGCTGAGTCGTCTCAGATTCTTTTTGTTGCGCCGCAACCTACAGGCAATGTAAGGGAAACAGCCTGCTATTTAATAGGTCACTGCCTCATTCTGTAGAAAATACTAATGTCCTATAAAATGGCTTAGGCTGAAGGAAAATTTGCGGGACAAATGGGCGTGGCACACTTCTTAGCCGCATTATCTTCCCTTCCTGTTCAGTTGCCTGTTTGTAATGGTGAGATCAACCTATGTTGGCATCATCCAAACAGCCATGAAAAATTACACTGAAAACCTGTGCCTGTAATGGTGTCAGCAGTGCATGTGACTGTTCAGACTGAAATGTCTTTGTACTTACAGCTCGTAGGGTCATCAGCAGATTTGTATAGGAGAAGAGGATCAGACTGAGAGGAATAATGAAACAGGTAATGAATAAAGTCAGGATGTAGCTGTTGTTGTTGCTGCCTCCGGTGTACCAGTTGGGACCACAGGAGGTTCTCAGACCTAGAACAATGAGATTTTAAACAATGCTAGGACAATCCTGAAGCATGATCAGGGACTTCAGTGGGAAAGGCACAAAGAACAAATACCACCTGCTGTTCTTGCTGAATTGTGCCTGTTTTCCTAAAGCAGCTCTCCAAATTCTAGCCAAATCACAAACAACACTGGCATCAGCCATGGTGATTTCTAGCTGGCAGCGCCTTGTTATTAATTTACACAGCAGAAAACCTGGAGCCAGCCCTGGTTGGATAAGGGGTGGGGGCAGTCAGGGGCAGGGAGCAGGGTGGATTGGATAGGATCCCAGAGGGGTGGTTAGGGATTGGGGGGTCTCTGGAGTCATAATAATAAAACTAAAGTAAACTTCTAAATAAACAAGATTTTAATAGGCTTGTTCTGCGCTTTAGCCATTTTGCTGAGCTACTCTGTGCAGTGACTGTAGTCAGTGACAGCGCTCTGCTGCTCCTCTGTCCATCAGAAGTTGTGTTAAGGCATATGCATAATAAGAAAATAGATGTTCTGCAGTTTATTGTAATAAGCAGCTAACTTTTAAAGAGTGGCATGTGAGAGGAAATCCTGTAATTAATGAGAAAACAAGGAGTGTTAGCACTTGGAGAACAAAGACAGCCACACAGTCAAATACAATGGTAAAATCATTGTGGTCTCTCCTCAAATATGTCATACTTAAAAAAAAAAAATTCCACCAATGACTGAAGAAAAAACTGTGCCCATCAGCCATTGCTGAAGCTACAGACTTGAATGCTTTCTGTGAAGAATGTGACACCCATACCTTCCGGCACATAGCTGCTCCAGCCTAACATTGGTGGGGTTGTCCAGAGAAGTGACCAAATCCAGGTGAATGCACAGCCCATCACTGCATGTTTGTGGTGAAATCGGAAATCTCCCATGGGTTTGCAGATGACGATATACCTTTCGAAGGCCAGGATCGCCAAGGACCAAAGCCCCACAATGCCTGAGAGAGATCACTAAATGGTTAGTATGTGTGGAATATGATTTCAAATTGCTGTGCTATTACATAATCTAGCAGCTTTCTGTGCTTAACTGCTAGATCTGAAGTGCCGGGTTTTCCTGAGCTATACTACTTTGTCCATGTAAGGACAGCTCCGTAGAATGAGCTATATTCCAAGCAGCTGTCTTGCAGAGATGTCAAGCAAGCAGGTAAAACCAGCAGGGAAAAAAGCTTTCACAGTAGCATCCTTTTTTGATTAATATAAGAATGGCCAGACTGGGTCAGACCAAAGGTCCATCTAGCCCAGTATCCTGTCTTCCGACAGTGCCCAATGCCAGGTGCCCCAGAGGGAATGAACAAAACAGATAATCATCAAGTGATCCATCCCCTGTTGCCCATTCCCAGCTTCTGGCAAAGAGAGGCTAGGGACACCATCCCTGTCCATCCTGGCTAATAGCCATTGAATTTATCCTATATGAATTTATCTAGTTTATCTAGATTATTATTCTTATTTATGTTATGATTGCACCTAGGAGCCCCAGCGTTTCTTGTTTATTTAACTCTCTATTAATTAATCTGGGGCTGTCTGAAAGGATACACTGTATTTCCTAGGACATACAGTTTCCATTTTCTAAGGCAGTTTTCACGTTTCTCAATGGAGTTTAGCTAGGATGCCTTAACAGATATCAATACCATGCTTAGGCGTGCGCAGCACATTTCATTAGGGTGTGCACCCAGGGAGTCCCACCCTGCCCTAGCCCCACCCCCATCCTGCCCCCAGCCATTCCCTCCTACTTCCCGCCCCCTGACTGCCCCCCTCAGAACCTCCAACCCCCCCCCAGCTCCTTGTCCCCTGACCACCCCCTCCAGAGACCCCCGACCCTAATTGCCCCCCCCGGACCCTCCTTGCT